ATTTTCTCTCGCATTTCAAATTTCATTTCCTTATTTAGATTTTCTCCAGGTCGGCGATTCTCCAGAGTCCACAGATTTTCGCTATTCCGCCGTCAGATTTTTCTCTACTCGGAGGTTTTACGTTTCGCCACCGCCTGATTCGCCGGTAATTTTCTACATCTCCAGTTCTTTTCTCTTTTTTTTTTTTGTAAACGAACAATGCAAATTTGAACTGGTATGCGTATTTTTGATCCTGGAAATTTCTCAGCCGGTGAAAAGTATTTGAATCGGATTCGGAATCGTGAGGAGATCTTCTGAGAGTTGTTGAGTGAGATCGTGTTTTTGTTGTTATTGTCAAATTGCTTTGAAATTCGAGTTCGTAATGTAGATCTGTGCTATGTTCCGTTTCTGCTTGTTGAATTGGTCCGCTTTGATCTTATTTCAACAGTCTCTGTAGTTGACAAGTAGAGTTTACTCAGGTTTTTCTACTTTTTTTTGTGTGGCTTGTCTATTGATAACATTCAACAGTTGTTCTTACTCTGAGATTCTTAGGTTTTTATGCCTAAAATTGAGGAATATTTAGGTGTATGAACTTACCTAAGACTCCAGTCTCATCTGATCTTAAGGCTAAATATCTTATTATTCAAAACTTTGGATTGTAATTGCAGAAACATGAGTTTTGTCTGCAATTAGTCTTCTTAATCTTCTGCTTGTTGGTGGAGTTTCTTGGCTGATTCAAGTCTATCGATCGAGATCTGTGTGCAATTTTGAAAAGATCTATTGCTATTTGATGAGTTGGGAACGGATTTGAAAGTCTCATTTTAGGCTTAGTATGACAGTGTTACGATGGTTAAGTATCCTCTAGGCTGTTGTGGAAGTAAATTCGTGAATGTGTTTATAGTAAATTATGGTTTTGGTCTTCATTGTTTTTCTAATTTCTGGTTGAGTTTTCATGCTATTTTTGGAACTGTCTGTAATTTGTTTCCATAGTGATTTATCTATGTCTTCATGCAGGTAACTGACAAGATAAGTGATTGTAAAGCAAGCTTAACCAAGGTCTGTGTTGGCAAAATGAATGGAAAATCTGAAGACAGACCATTACCAAACCCTGCGTCCTTGGATCCCAGCGATCCTAGCATTGTAGAAACAGAGAAACCAGAGGCTGAGAAAGCTACCGTGGAAGTTGAATACGTTGATTCTGAGAACTTGGATAATGTGGACGATGTTGATGCAGTTCTCAAGGTATTTCTTCTGTTTGTGCTTCTGCGTTGTGGTTACATCAATTTGTTTATGCCAAGAAGAATCTGTTTGGTCTCATTTTTCAGTCGGTTCTAGCTGGCCTCGATTCCAAGGAGTGGGTATCAGTCTGTGATGCTCTTAATAATGTTCGTCGGCTTTCGATATATCACAAGGAAGCAATGCTGCACATGCTGTAAGCCAAGCCATTTTTCTTTGCAGATGTCTCTAATTTAATTATTTCTTGAAAGTAAATTGAAAAATGCAAGTCTCACGATATCCCCTTAACAGCGAAAAAGTGATACCACTCGTCGTGAAGTCACTGAAAAATCCAAGAAGCGCAGTGTGTAAAACCGCATGCATGACATCTGCAGACATCTTCGGTGCATATAACAACCATATAACAGATCTGTTGGATTCTCTGGTAGCTCTTTTATCTTATTATACTCTTTCCTTTTGTTAGCCTTTTGAATTTTATTTGTTTCTACAACGTTTCCTCCACTCTATGCTTTCAGCTTACACAACTCCTCCTCAAGTCTTCCCAAGACAAGCGGTTTGTTTGCGAGGCAGCAGAGAAAGCTTTAACAGCAATGACCAAATACGTTTCCCCCACTTTGCTGTTACCTAAGCTGCAACCCTGTCTCAAGAACAGGAATCCTCGGATCCGTGCAAAGGCGTCATTATGCTTTTCCAGAAGTGTTCCCCGACTGGTAATACAAGCTCAACTTCTGTGCTTTTCAGATATATTTTCAGATATATCTCTCACAAAGGCATTGCGTGTTGTGTATCATTTCCAACAATTCCTCATGCTATAATACATATTCCAGGGAGTTGAAGGTATTAAAGAATATGGAATCGACAAATTAGTTCAAGCAGCTGCGTCTCAGCTTAGCGATCAGCTCCCTGAATCCCGCGAGGCTGCACGGACTGTCCTACTAGAACTTCAGACCGTGTACGAAAAAGCTCATCCTCTCATCAAACCTGAGACTTCGTCATTATCATCGCCAGCAGAAGAGTTAATCCCAGAGGCAGAATCGATTACTTGGGAAACTTTCTGTCAGTCAAAACTGTCGGCTCTAAGCGCACAAGCCGTGCTTCGTGTCACCAATGTTGTGACTGTGACTGCTCGGGAGGGTTTGGTTACTACAGGTTCATCTTCTTCAACTCGGTTATAAACCTTTTTTTACTACATTTTGAAAAAAACGGATCATACGGTTACATGGTATTCTCCGGGCATGATCTACCAAATTGGTCAAATTATGGACCGATAAAGAGAGTGAAGACCGTTTATGAAAAATCTTTGGTTATCTTTTCTTCTTTGCACTTAAGTTTTCACCAGCTTTTTGTTTTCCCTTATGTGTATATACTATATTATCTATACCAATATTTGGTAAGATAGTCTTGAGTCTTTTGGTTTTATGCAAATTGGTTGGATTCTTTCAAGATTCAGTCTTCATTCTTCACATCATTATCTACTTGCAGATAGATATATGCTTCTTACTTTTTGAAGTTTCACTAGTTTAAATAATTTACTCCAAGTTTCACTGAAAGTTGACTTTTACTGGATTTAAGAAAATATAAAAGTATCTGAGCCAAGATAAATAACTTTCACATCTACTATCGAAGATGAGGAAACTCAACGTAGACAAGCAATAGCATAACCTCTTATTTTGATGAGTGTGTGAGGTCAAACAATAACTGCAAACTCTATGTAACAATAATTTAGCTCTGTGAGAGCTCACGGCTTCGATTAGCAGCAGCGACAACAGCATTCATAAGTGTTGCTCGGAAAGAACCTTTCTCCAGTTCATGAACTCCGGCTATTGTTGTGCCGCCTGGTGAAGTAACATCATCTTTCAATACACCTGGATGCTTCCCGGTTTTGCTCACCATTGTTGCAGCTCCAAGAACCTGTGAGAAAAGTAGAAAAAAACCATTAAGCCCAGGCTTCTCTTTCTAGTTTTGGTTATTCAATATCACAAAAGAAAGAGAAGCTGTGTGGGTTGGTTCACTGACAGTTTGTGAGGCTAAACCCAATGCGAGTTCTCGTGGTAGACCAGCAGCTACTCCTCCATCAGCTAAAGCTTCAATAGCCAAGTATATGTATGCTGGTCCACTTCCACTGTTGAAATTTTCAAAGAAATTCAGTACATGATTACTTGATTAGTGACTTGCAACAGTGGTGTTTTTTAATTACCTGAGACCGGTGACAGCATCAAACATTTTTTCATCAGCTCTCAATATCTTCCCGACCGAGCCAAACAACTTCGCCACAAGTTCTCCATCCTCTTCCGTTGCCGCTGTTCCGAGGCTCATAACTATTTACACATGAGAATAATGCATCAAAATGCAAAGCAACCATAGTATGAGAGATAAAAGAAATCATAAAACAAGCACAAATGAACACTCTGAGAAACTACCTACCTGTAGCTGCCTCACCAACTGCAGCTGGTGTATTAGGCATCACTCTTATGAATCGATCTTGACCAGACCATTCCTAACACAAGAAAAAACAGACATTTCAGCTTCTTAACAAAAGGAAGCTCTACAAAAATGTTTGATGCAACACTCGAAATCATGCCGAAATATTTGATCAACTTCAACAAATCTTTGACAATAGTATACTCCAGAGTTTAGAAAGATGCAAACCTGTAAATCTTTCAACTTAATTCCAGCTGCAACAGAAACCAGAAGCTTATTCTTAGAGAGCTTCGAACTTAATTCCGTGACTGCCTTCTTAACTGCATAATATCACAGGTACAGCTTTAGGCAGAAACAAAGATATATTGTCTTAGCGAATCAATCAGCTCAATAAAAGAAGAAATGGAGATGCCAGAAATATTACCAACTTGAGGTTTCACAGAGAAAATCACAACATCGCTTTCTTTAACAACCTGTCAATTTTGAAGATCGTCAGTTTATGAAGAAAGTCTTTCGCTCTCTCTCTCTCTAAACAAAAGTGAAACTTACATCTTCGCTACTGGAGAAGACATTGACGCCGAATGATTCAAAGACATCACGGCGATTGAGATTCGAGTGAACGGCGGTGCATATACGATGCGGCGGAAGAACACCGGAGGCAACCACACCTCTAGCTATACTCTCCGCCATTTTTCCGGCTCCGACGAACCCAACCTTGAAGCTCTCCGCCGGGATCGGAAGTATCTCCATCGGAAAATTACGGATTAACGAAAGGATTTAGGTTTGCTTCTGTTCAATAATGTAAAGTGTGCATCAGTTCAAGTCTGGCAAGTGCAGATCACGTGACTCATCACTACACCAAGGCCCAATAAAACAAGTTTATAAACGGCCCATTTTAAAATGAACTAGACATTCGTGTCGTTCAAACAAAAAACAGTCAAACGACGTGGCGTTTTTACTCATACGAATATAAATTGAGAGTAACCAACACGACACACGAAGTTTTTTCGTTCACATAACTGTGAATAAAATCAAAACAAGTCATCCACAGAAACTATGTAAACAAGAAGAGTCTTAAAGCAAGTAACAAGGACCAAAAGTTAGTAAGTTCTTTGATGCATACATGAAGGAAAAAACTTGAACTGGATCTTGCAAGCTCCGGGAAGCATTAGCAGATCTGTGACTAATGGCAGCATTGCTTCTGCACAAGCACGAATATTAACAAGCTCAAGACATGGCAACTTCTCTAGGAAACGTTTCATATGATCCAACTCTGCTTTAGTCCCACTGTACTTGGTTATCTCTAGTACTTTCACACGACACGACAATAGAAAAGAATATCCAGACAAGCACTCGCAAACAGATTCAGGTTCTTCTTCATCATATTCGTCGTAAAAGTGCAAAGGGCCCTCGATGACAAAAGTCTCTAGATTTGGAGCCTTTTTGAGAAGTAAGGGCACAAGTTTCCAACACGATCTTTGCTCAGTTACAATAGAGAAACGAGATAGGTTTTCCAACAGTGGGATTGCTTCAGCACATGAGTAAAAAACCTCTTGAGGTTTTGAGAGACGACAAGTTGAGGATCTCAACATTTCTTAACCCCTTAATCATATTCTTTGGATTGCTTTCACTAATAGGTCTCTTCGAATCAAGAGTAAGCTTAGCTTCAACAAGAGAGCCAAGATTAACAATAGGATACTCATCAGCAACATAATCAGAGTACTCTAAGTAGGCAAGACTCGGAGTATCAAACGTAAGGAGCCGAGAAACCTTAACTTCCTTATGAGATTTACAAGGAAGAGTAAGTCTCTCTAAGGTCGGACATGAAACTGTACGACACTGTTCCAAATCCCAAGGGTCACCAAATATCGTTAATTCCTCAAGAACATGACAAGCAGAGATAAGAGTTTCAACCTCGCGACCAGAAAACCGAACACAATAAAGAAACAAGGTCTTAAGAGATGGAAGAGAAGCATTCTCAGGAACCTTAGCAATAACAACTCCCCATCCTAGTTTCAGCTTAACGATTGTCTTGCATGTGAAGATCTCAGAAGGAAGTGTAATCACTTTGCTAGTGAGCGTGTCAAGATCAAGATCCACGATACCACGGCTCGTCAAGTTAATGATCCAACGAATGATATGAGATGATTCAACACTCTGTCGAACTTTCAAAGAGAATTTCCTAATGGGAAAAATTTCCAGACACAGCAGCCAATACTCTATCCACGAAATCTATGAAATTCTTATTAGAAACGCCATATTTAACAAAAATAAGATGAAGATCCGGTGCGAAGGCAAACCGATTCCTCCATCTCTTTGAGAGAAGAGAAGTTAAAGCAGCTTCCTTTATCGAAAGAAAAAATAGAATATGGCTAACAATCTCATTAGGTAGAGTGCTGATCCTATCCATATCCTTTTTCTCAAACCCTACTAGCATTCCCTTTTCTCTCAAACTCAAACCCTAGAAATCCAAACCCTACACGACACCAAGTTAGGATGCAGAAACCTAGCTGGGAAAAGGAGGCACGGTAAAAACAGAAAATAAAACAATTACACAATCTGGTCGTTCAAACAAAAATCACTAGAACATCACGGCGTTTTTGTGGAAAAAAACGACAAGGAGTTAGGACAAAGAAACCCTAGTCAGTCTTCAATAGCATAGACGACCACTGAGGATTGAAGATCTCGATCAACCTTGAAATGCGCGTGGAAAAATCTTTTAACCTGTTTAATGGCGAACATAAATATACAAAAAAGAAAAAAAAATGACGTCAGAGATGAAAAAAAAGAGTGTTCTTGTTGAAAACTTGCCTCTTTGAAGGAATGTTGGATCATGAAATCTCCGAGTTTTGTTTCTTCTGATGCAAACAATACAATGTGACTAGGCGGCTCTGACCAGTGTATAGCCAAGTCTGATGCAAAACCTAAAGGGTCCATTAAGAAACGGTCTGATTCATCAAGTTCTCCTTTCTCTTCACTGTTTCAAAAGAAGAAGAATAAGAATCTGTGTCGTGGAGTAATGCGCAAAGAAGCAAGAACTGTGATTTTGTTACCTTGGTGTGCAGTCTAGAAATCGCATTGGAATGTTATGATGGAGAGTGGAATAATAGGGAGTAGAATGGCATGGCATGAGAAAGAGAATGCTCTTTACTCTCTCTTTGTATGCTTCTTCTGATAAGTAGTTCATCGCAGTCTCGGTTCCTCTCTGTTTAAACAATGTTGTAACAACAGCTTTTCTTATTAGCACAATAGAGAGTAAGTAAACTCAGAAAAACCAGAGAGAGCCCTCGAGTGATTGATTTTTTACCTGATGGACTAAACTCATGTATAGTGCCATTGGGATATTCGTAACAAGCAAAAAGAAGACTGAAAGTCTTAGTTTTGGAGACCACTTGAAGATATGGCTCTTTTGAGGGACTTGCTTCTTTTTAGCGATTGATGATGATGAATCAGATGCCTCCATTTGAGCAAATGCGTATCCAGAGAATATCAAAGCTATGGGTAGCACAGGCAGCACAAACCTATCATTCATAATCTAAATAGATGACACGGAAAACATAATTGATGATGAAAAGATGTTTTTTGAGAGGTTTTCGAAAACAAAAGTGTAAGAAAAAGGTTCATTCTACGTCCATATTACCTGAATTCCTTGTGGCCGAGTACGCTGTATAAAGCTAAAACCCATAAAATAAGAACTGAAAGCTTCTGATTCTTAGACTTGATGATTCCAGCAATGGAAAATGGTGTGAAAGTGAAAAGCATGACAAGAAATCCTTGGGTGATGTACCAGTGCCATGGATGAGTCCCGTAATAGTCTCCACCAGATGAAAGGAAATTGAACTTCAGAAAATTCAGAGGCACAATGACCCATGAGCCGTACATCAGACGGTCCAACAAGCAGGTGAAACCGAGGACCAAAGACCTAACAGCAGAAGCAAGTAATTACAATGAAATCTTCAAAAGTAAACATTCAAAAATACATTCAAGAATACAGCTGCAGAGTTAAACTCACCCAATTGGTATCACCTCTAGAATGATGAATTTGACCTTATTACACGTCAAAAATAGCTCAAGCATCCCAACATATAACCATATTATTGCACTTGTTGGTCTTATGGCACATGCTAGGGCTGCTATGACCAAACCCCACTTCCGATTCACGGGATAAGCCTTTGAAGAATCTCTAATACAAGGCCAGTAGTACAGGCCCATGATTGTAAGAACAGTTTCCAAACAGTTTGAAAAAGTACGGTTCAAACAGAAGAATATGAACCAGTTCGCCATTTGACAAAAGAGCTACCAAAAAGTTAAGGAAGCAATCCAGAATAAAATGCAAATACAAATTTAAAAAGATTATGGTTTCAAAACAGATAAGAGGAAACATAGAACAAATTCAATGACATCTGCTAACAGACTTAACTCAGTCTTTCTTCAACATGGGAATAAAGATCAGGATCTAATTATCCATTGACCTATCATTGCATGGGAATTATCAAGTAATGGTGGGTTGGCTTCAGTTTTGTAGATAATATTTGTAATTACTAGCCTAGTCTAATCTTGTAATTTTGATCGGTCGCAAATTCATTTCCATATCGTTCAAGAAAATAAAGCAATCGACTTAGAATGCCGCATAAAACGGATACGGACCAGCTTGCAACATTTTCTCCATATAGAGCATCCGAGAGTTTATACAAATAAAGATCACCAAGAGCAGAAAAGATGGACTGCATGATACGTGGAGATTTGCTCTGCAAATAAAGGAAAGGGTTTTAACACATAAACCATTCTAACTACCTTTATTTGAACAACGTAAGAGCAAGAATTGCGAAAGCACAAGTCAAAGAAAGAGTCAGAGACAACCAAACTACTCCATTTCAACAAATTAGATCATACAAGCTTCTGCTACTTATCAGACCAAACAAGCTGGTATCATTGAAAACTAACAACACATTGTTTCTATAACCCAATCCACAAAACTAACATGATTTCTTGTTAAGGAAATAAGAATTTATACTGACCATTGTGTAGGGAGTATCAAGGCCAGTCAAATCAAGAACTTTATACAAGAAGGCGAATAACATTGGATGCAAGTAGCTTCTTATCCCTCTCTTCCACTCCCATGTCAAGTAACCATACCTGTCATCATTACAATCAATCAAGAACCAATCTTAAAAATGACAATCACAGCTGAAATCACTATGATTTCTACTATGTCATTTATGCTTTCAGAGACGAATTCACTAACACAGATCATAGAATCAAAATTTGATCTACAAAATGCAGTAAGAGAAACACTGAACTCTCAATTTCAACAAATCTACTCAGCAGCATTTAAAACGAAGATGGATTTTCGAAGATTACCCGAACACGGTGCGGTGAGCTACTTCAAGTGATTGCCAATGTTCGTCGGGATTGAAATAAGTCTGAATCAACAAAGCATTTACCACTCGAAACGCGAGGCAGAAGAAGAATATCCTACTCGGGGATCGTATTTGACCTGATTTAGAAGAACCACTAAACAAATCCCGATCATTGCCGCCGGTATCTGACGCACCACCGTCGCCGTTAGTCTTCCGCTTCCTAATTTCCATCTGAGAAGACATTGACCCCGACGGATTCGAAAACTTCACGGCGATTGAGATCCGAATGAACCGGCGGTGAAGATACGATGCGGCGGAAGAACACCAGAGGCAACCACTCCGGCTCTGCTAATCCCAAACCTTGCCGGTCTCCGCCGGAATCGGAAAAAATGGACTTAGGCTTTTTTAGACATCGGCTCACGTGCGCACGTGCAGATCACATGGCCCATTTGTTTATAAAGGCCCAATGTAACAAGAGATATTCATTGTTATAAAGGGCCCGCATAGAAATGGCATCAAGAAACATTCATTTTCTATACATTTGTCAGAGGATTGTCATTATTATGGGCTTTGCTATTGAATTGATGTTCACGAGGAGGATCCTCATTGCCTAATCTTGCCATGAGTCATCGTCACATAAGCCTATCCAAATTCCATCACATAACTTTTCTGTGTAACCGACTATATTTTGGTTGAAATTCAATGTAACGTAAAAAAAAAAGCATTTACATAAGACATAAAAATGATAATAATATATGAGAATATGTATTGCATTCGTTAAAAGTATATTAAGAATTTAAGACGCAGATTTTCAACTGAATTGTGGAGATTTTCGTGTTCTTTTTGGCATTGTTTCTAGAAGACATTTATCCGAATGCCCACCCACAGGTCAAATTGTGGACTCTCGCTAACTATTTTATAATGAAAAAAAAAAAACTAGAATTTTGTAATAAATTCATATCTACGACTACAAGTAAATTACTTCTTTGGAACCATCAAGTCAAATAAAATTAACTAGTACACTCTAGAAATACTTTAACAAAGTAAAACTCGACGTATAAATAAAGTCCTCTCTCGTGAAAACCATATCAAGAAACTAAACAAAAAATGGACGTT